GGGGCTGGATTAATAAGCTCAAGATCAACCATACTAGCACAAATTTCCAGAACATGCTAAAAGTTAAAAATTTAACTAAGAAACAAACTTATTTCACGGGAATAACAGCACATATAATTCCCACAAAAATATAGATAAGTTCAAGAATCTCAAGATCCTCTGTGTAGGTAATACCGTAATACTGACTCTAGAGGTCAAATTATGCAGGACAGACATAAAACTTATATGAGGGTTTCTGGTGAGTATAGTCTCAACACACCAAGTAAATCCACAATATTAATACTACTGAAGGTACTGATGTTTTAGCACGCACAAGTAGTGGTGCATCGACTTAAGTTCTGCAAGGCGCAAATTGAAAGCATAATAAATGTGTTCTTCCCAGCACCCCTAGAAAAAGGCACTTACTTTCCAAATCAGAAGGCACGCAGCATATGGAGCCATCATAAGCCAGAGACTGAAAATAATTCACTCAATCTGGAAATATGCTTAGCAATTACCAAGGTTCTCATCCCTAGAAGACCCATTATGCATAACATCATTTAGACGGTATGTGTCTACGTTTCCCATAATCTGCATCCCTCGATCGAGATCTGTGATCCTCTTCTGGCACTGCTCGTGATCTGCTACGTGATCGTGAAGATTGTCCTCTATCCCAGTCATCCTCATAACCCAATTCACGTTCTTTGTTGCGATAGTCTCGGTACCCATCTTTCTCTTCCCTGTACTTGTACTCTCTATCATACCTATCCCGGTCATTCTCCCTCTCATCACGAGGCCTCTTCTCAGAGTTACTTGACCAGTCACGCTCAGAGTTCCGTTCCTTTTCACGAGGAGCAGCACTAGACCTTACTCCTTTATCAAGACTTGCTTCTCCATATTCAGAAGCATTATCTTCACCACCATAACTAGATTCTCGGGTCCCTCGGCCTTGTTCTTCTCCTCCCCATCCACCCATGTTTGGGTCATTCCACATTCCCCAATGAGGTCCATCCATTCCTGCAGTCCCCATCATACCCATCCCATTTGGAGCCATTCCTCGACTGAAAAAGGCAGGGTTGACATGAGGAGCCACTCCAGGTAGCCCCATTGGATTAACAGCTGGAAATGGAGGAAGCATCCCTGGGAAAGCATGACCTGAGAAGCCTCCATAACCAGCTCCTCGACCCATAAATGCAGGATCAAATCCAGGACCCATCATGCCATGCGGATGCACCATACCAGGATGTCCACCAAAAGCAGGGCCGCCTGCCACGCCTTGTCCATAGGGTCCGCCACCAGCACCCGCACTCGAACCAGGTGCATTCCCAATCATATTCTTTGTTCCCATAGATCCTCTTCCTCTAACAGGTCCAGCTGCAGGACCTCTGTTAGGCATTTGCTGCCCACCTCGTCCCCACCCACCTCGTCCAAAATTCCTCCCTGCATCTCCACTGGGATAATTTGCTCCATTACCCCTTCCTGCTCCATCATTCATGGGTCTCCTTCCCTGGGGCTGAGACGGAGCCTGGGCCTGGGTCTTGTTCATGTAAGAGGCACCCATCTGTTTTATGGTCTGTGGAGTGGCAAATGTCACAACACAAGCACGCCCGTTAAAAAGATGACCATTCATTCCGTCTTTGCAAGCAGAAGCAGAAGCTGGATCATAGAATTCAACTTGACAATAGCCTTTGGATTTACCACTAGCTCTCTCATCAAAAAACTTAATTTCCTTGACCATCCCGTACTGGGAGAGCACAGTCTCAAGCTCAGCATCTGTTGTCCACCAATGTAACTCTCCGACAAAGAGCATCGTATTTCCATTTTCTACAGTTGGTCGTATCAGATTATCATTATTAACCATGTGATTCACAATCACATTTGCAGTTGAATTCATTCTACTAGCTGGAATCTCAGGAACAACTCTTGAGCTGCCCACAATAGGATTTGGTAAAGGAGAAGGTTCACCAGCTACTTTCCCTGACATGCTAATTGAATCTGCAGCAATTTTCTGGGGCATAGGAACTGGTCCTTGAAATCCTAAATATCCTGCTTGAGATTTATGAGTCATCTCAGATATCCTTCCCCTTTGTGAGGCATCAACAATCTGTTCAGGTCCCCTTTCAGATGGCAAGCCACTCTTCTGCTCAGGACACTGGATTCCAGCGGAAGCATAATTCTGTTCATTAGCAACTCCAGGACTGTTTAACTCTTTTAAGACTCTTGCTTCATTTCTAGCGTCGGAAACATTAGCTTTTGGAACTTGGGATCCACTATTGCCAACACCAAGAGCACGCATTTGTGCATCAGACTGCGGCAACTGCAGGAAACCCTCTCCAACATTAACATCATTGTAGAGATCATCGTATTCATCATCCTCCCCTATCATTTCTTCCTCTGCAAGCGCAGGTATAGCTCCAGCTTGATGGTATTGCATTTTTGGACCATATTCCCCATCTCCATGATCTAATTGTTCGTCCGTCACTGGATCCATTCAGGCAAACCAAGACTTATAAATTATTTATCTTCTCCTGGTTAACAAAAATGGCTATTATAACCATGCTCATACCATCATATACAAAATGAAATGGGTAGCAGTTATCTAATCCGAATAGAAGAATATATAATTATAAACAGCACCGCATCACGTACTGACAAAGAGAACCTACTCAAAATATTGTGCAGTGATTAAAGATATCAAATCAAACTAAGCAGATCCTTTCCCACCATAACTTCAGAGTAAGTAAATATAGCTATATCAACACACCACAAAGCCCAGAAGGGGGTTGACAAGATTCAGATCTCT